TAAACGACGACGACAATTAGATATATTAGTTATTGATTCAGCTGGTTTTGAATTTTCAATAAAACATGCTATACCAATTAATTCACTTCTACCATTTGTTCAACCAGGACAAAGACGAGGTAAAATATTTATTTAAAAGACCTAAATAAAACGAACAAAAGTTTTAATTCAAAATTTGATTTATCTATCTCTAATTCACACTGCTCAGTTATTTGTCAGTAGCTCAAGTATTCGGCGTTGTCTGGAAAAATTCAATATTGCATGCTTAGCATGTTGGAAAACGGTGATCTTACATTTCCTAGAAGCCATCCATCTTTGATGTTGCAAAATGCGCTCCGATCTCTTTCCCTTTTCAACTTTTTTTGCCTAGACACGGGTAGGACCAATGTTTTTCGAACCCGATCCTGGCTCCGATCCCTTCTCGATCTCAGTCGAAAAAAATTTTACTCTCAGGCCCGATTCTGATTTAAAAAAGCTGTTAGCTCAATCCATTGTAGGATTAAAAATGTGAAAAACGATGGATCTATTGTTACTAATTAAATGGAAATCATCTCGTTCCATTTCTTTGCGATACATTTGTACCTAGATTCGTTAGAACTACAGTTTCTCTATTACGGTGTGTGATGGGTCAAGATCCTGTCTGCCATGGTCTGTAATAGGTCCAAAATCTGTCTTTCACGGTATACGGCGGAGCGGGGTGCAAATTTCTACCCTTATGCACTTCAACACTCCTTACAGATATTGTCTCACAAAAAAATTGGGATCGGGACTAGAACCGCTTTGCTCATCTCTAGATTGGGAATTTTAATATATTTTAAATCTGCATTAGTTTGAAGTTTAAAAAAAGTTTCTTTGTAAAACTTTGTCATCTTTTTGAAACATTTTCGTTGAAAACTTGATCAAAACAATACTACTGACCATTGAAATATGCTAACATCGATTGATCAGCAAACTGATCTATCAAATTTGAGTATACTTTCATACCCTAGAATCTTCTGTGTCGAATGACGAAAATCGCAGGTCTTTATCTCTTTTCGTTCTCCAGTTTTTGAGAAAACAGTCGCACACACGGACTTTTCAGATGGAGCACTTACTGTACTGTTCCAAAAATGGGCTTATTAAGTACGCTGGAGGTTAAAGCTTTTAATTGAAAAGTAACCCTTTTTCCAGGAACAGTTGGAAGAAATACAAAAACCGGAGGAGAATACTTCAAAAATCGAAGAATATTTCCGACGTTTTTTTTGAAAAATCCGAAAAATTTTCCATCATTTTTTGAAAGTTAAAGGGACTTTTCCCCCCCCCCCCCCCTCTCGATTCTGCCGACTTCATCTTGACTATCTCCTGAACCTAACGGTGTATCATGCCAAGTTTGACTGCTCTAGCTCTTACGGGGACAAAATGCATAAAGAAGAAACATATAGGGTGTGGGTGTGGATACGGACCTTCTACTACGTTATATACCAACAGGCACACTCATATCCGCACTCCAATCCACCCACACTCACATCCGCACCCCATACCCACCCACACCCCGTACCCACACTCCACACCCACACCCAATTTCATTTAACATCATTTCATCAAGATATTGGAAAGATAAAGTATAAAAATATGATTCCATTCATGCTTGAATATATCGTAATAGCATTATTCTAATATATATATTTCAATAGTAATAGATAAATTTTTTTTCATTTTTGATATTCTATTTAGATGTATCATCACTAAAATTAGTGTGAGATCAATAAATGTAAATAGTGTTGAAATAAACACTGCACATTTCAATGATTATTGATGTTTTTTTTTTCATACGTCTATTTTGATCAATTAATAAAACTTTTATCTTCTGATCATATATTCAACACAAGAATACTTAGTTTAATAACTTAATTATTGATAAATGAATTCAAAATAACTACGACATGACATATATATCTAGTGAGGACTTTTTTCTTTCTTGGAAGTTTTAGCTTTCTATGCAGCGAAAGAAGTATGCAAAATATCATGACAATTTATCATCAATTATCATGACATTCTGTACAGACGCATACTGAAAAAAAGAAAAAAAGTACATCAGTGAATCTGTGTGATTCTGTAAGACTTTATCAAAATCTTTTTTATATCGTAGAAATTTCTAGAGCCTCCAAAAAGTTTCGGA